GGGCAGATTATGAAGGGATTTGAAGTTAGGGAGAAAACAGTGGGAGTAATTTTCCCACTGAAAATTTCGGTTTGTTCTCTCGATGAAAATTCCAACAGGCACATTCTTTTAATACGTTTTTGACACTGTTAAAATAAATTGTTGAATGAATCACTATCCTGGGAATGGAGCGCCGAGGGCACGACAATAACGAGTTCGCTTGCCCGAAGGACTGACAAACCTGCTATTAATAAGTACAGGTTATTTTAATTTTTTCGTACTTCCACACAGGCCAAATTTTCCAAAAGAGACTTCCTTTTTAGTTGTCATGATATCGTTGCAGAGAAATAACTAAAGCTCAAACTTTTTTAATACTAATAATTATTTCTATTGATTTCAAAACCAGTCACCACCCAAAGCAAATTGTTACAGCCTTTATATGCTGATTTGTTATTAATATAATATCGTTAAATACATTTTGTTTGCTAAAAATATTACTGCCGGGGTCACATCCGACACCGTGAACAGACCCATAGCACAGTTACAGAGAATGCATGCAGACGCACACCTTTGCATATAAAGTGCTTAGCCTCCTCCACAATGCCCGTTATCTTCCTGATCACAAAGATTTCCATAGTTCTTTAGGTAACAACCTGCACGAAAGTGAAGTCAAATCGCAGCAAAACAAATTTCTCAAAAAACAGGCGTCGAGCAAGAATTGATGAAGTGGTTTGATATGCTAACTTCTCAGCCTGACTACTCTTTCGCATCACGGATCTCGTTAGTGAGAATCACTCAATCATTGTTAATATTCTATAATTTTTGGGATAAACAATTGTTCTTGGGCTACTCGGAAGAATAATAAGTATGCCTAATTGATGTTCGTCACCGTTGTTTCATATTTTCTACCTATTGATAGTTTTTCAATTCATCAAGTATTTCTATGTAAGTTTGACATTGTCGAGGCTATCGATGAAATTTTCTCTTTGGACACTCAAGAATCGAGTGAGTTTACTCGAGTCTGATGGAGCTTTTAGGTACATGTTTTTGGCAAGTATCACTTGCATTATTGATGCGTCTACACTGCTATTATTCTCTTATAAACTGAACAACATGTGGCACTCACAGCCTCCATGGTGGCATCATATTCAGAGAGAAGCCATTGGGGACAGTTTCCATTTGCTTTGGGGAAGAGGTCCTTTGACGCCCTCAGAAGTTCCTCGTGGATCTGCTGCAAAGCAGTCGCTGTAACCAACGGACCTGCAGTCCTTTCTTTAATATCTCTTTTGTAGCGCTCTTCTGCTTCTTTGAGTATCTGACTCATCTCATTCCGTCCTTCTCTTTCCTTTTGTTCCCTTCGGTGTTTATATTCCTGATACTTCCGATCTAGTTCCTGGGGAAGCATAATTATTTTCACTTTAATTTCTATAATATGTAAATACTAGCCTAGAAATATATTAAGAACCATAAAACCAGGGGTATGTGACCCTTCGGAATGTCAGGAATGAATTTACAATCTCCTCATTTGAGAATGCACAAAAGTGTTGAAGGTTTCCAACATGAATATTGCAAGATCGTGGTATATCAATTATCGTGGTCTAATGGTTTCGCAGACTTCAAATTACTCATGGGCCCACATGGGAGACACTGTAAGTTGAATCAGAGAACAAAATCAGCTACTTTTTGAGCCTCAACAGTTTGTTCTATAAATATATTTTTAGAATTTTTACGATATACTGTAATACTAGAAATCATTAATAAAAATATTCCATTTGGAAATCTGGAGGTGAAACATACCGTTCAAGATGACGACCGCTACATAGGCGGAGAGACATATGTGTGTTAATGTTTGTTTGACAGTTCTGCAGGCTAAATACTTCGAGATATGAACCGGAGGGTTCGGCATATTTTTCCCTTATTATTCCAGGATGTGCCATCGTCACATAATATTTATAGATTAGCCTCACGAAAAGGGGGGAAACAATTTTCTTGGAAAATCATAGATACGCAATCGTCTCGAGATCTACAGGATGGAAGAAGATACGAGAGTTCGCGTTGTATTCGATAGGGTACGGGAGCTTCGCTCGTCACATTGCCTGCAGACTGTTCTGTTCCTTTAGGGGAGCGCATCATTTCCAGGAGTAAAATTGATATTTCCAAACAGCATCCAATTTTTGCGTTCGTCCCAGGTTCGTCCCACAGCTCTCATGAATCAGGTCATAGACAATCGCGTATTCTGCTTGGAAATATTACCTTTCCTACCCTTCTCCATTCGATAAAGAGATCATTCCTATCGTTCCGTGCGAGACAATTCTCTGAAATAGCAATACCTATAAATTTAGCAGTTTTCCTTTCACACCGGAGATGCGTCTCGAGAAAGAGTTGGGAGACGCAAACGTTTCCTGTAGTATTTTTTGTCTCTGCAATAGGAAGTAGATCCTTTCCACCCTGAAATATCGCTTTTGTGTGACGATATTAAATACCATAACGTTTTAAAATGAGCGCATGTGCTTCCCAAGTCATGTCAAACCAAGGAAATGAAGTATAATATTTTTCCTGCGTGAACGTGATCGAGGTCGAATAAAGCGCTTCATGGCGAATGGCACTCGATGGTCGAGGAAAAATATGTTCAAGGTTCAGGATTCCCGAATAACGGCCAGACTTATTTGACTCACAAAAGGTTTAAGATCATTCGATGGAATAGGGATGAGTGTACTTGGAATCAAAGAAAATGTGTTGTTGGTCAAAATTGACCATATGTGTGGCAAATGTCCAACTATTGAAATATTTGAGTTGCTTGTACTGGGCTCTAAGGCCAGCCTGCAGTAGGGTCTACCAAAGGCTATTGCAAAGCACTTCAAAATGAAGCTTAAATTGCTTCATGACTTTCGCAAATTCCACTTTCCATTCTTCGCATTTATCCTTGGCTTCTCAGATTCGGTGAGGAGATGAAGACGAACTCGTGGTTGCTCAGTCTCGCTGTGAGACACGATCAGCAGCTGCAACTGGAGAAGCCCTTGCATCTCACATTTATGAACGAGGAACCACCGAGAGTTCCACCTTATCGGAAGGGCTGGTGGGAAATCCACGAGGGGGAAAGTTCGACCTTTATGTCTCAAAGTCATCTGTGTACCTTCTGGAACATGCAAGAGTAAGCATATACCGCATGCACGACTACATGGTATTTGCCGTTCATACAAGAAATGCATTCCCATTCCATAGAAAAAAAAATACAATTTTAAGGTAGTAGCAACATTTGCATACAGGTTGAAAGCAAAGGGGCTATAGGTATCATTTCCACTCCTGTATAGTGAGCGTTGGGACGATGAGGGATGCAGAATGGTTTCAACGGGCAGGGATCAAACGATCTGTGAGTGCTCCCATCTCACCAACTTCGCGGTCCTCATAGACATCAACGCACCAGCTGTGAGATTCCTCATCCATGGTTTCGATGGCTTAAGTGAGGGACAGACTAGAACTATGTTTCAAAGTGAATTTGAATAAATATTCAGAAGAACGAGACAAGCTCATTGGAGACGTTGAAGAACTTGACGTCATGGATCGAAAACGAAGTGGAACTGTCGGGGGAGGAAATTCAAAACATAGTTAATTCATTGGCTGAGCTGTTGGACGAATTCCTCGTCGACCTACAAAACGGCCAGGTGGACCCATCCGACCCGAAGGAGTTCCTTCTGATTCTGACCAAAGCTGTGGACCTCACCTTAGATGCTTTTCAAGGATGGCTGAATATCACGAAGGTTGGTTTCCCGCTGCTCTATCTAAAGTTGTCTTAACTCGTGCATCGTTCTCAAATTAGGGAAGATGGGAATTCCGTTTCAAATTCATGGATTTGTTACGGATATGTGTCCTTAATTTTTTGTATGCAAGAGATTTCCCCTGCGTTCGCAGCCGAAAAGGCCTCATTGTGAGGAAGGATAGAATATGGAGTCCCAAATCTTTGATCTGCTAATGTATTTCTTCCATTGTTGAAAAGTAAATATGAGACGATGACCCAAAGGTTGACCAGTACAACCTCTCCCTAAAATTTTCCATGGTTTGAAGCAAAGAGAGTGAGCTGTTCTATGTCGGCGTCCGTCGTGAATCACTCTGAAGCTCGTATTGCAGGGGGTCCGGAGTGAGACGTTCTCCTCACTTACGGAGACACTGGCAAAGGCGGGACTGGAGATTGTTTTTTCCATGTTCGACGGGTTTGAAGAAGAACTAGCTTTCAACGTGTCCAGGGATCATCTTGTGGTAGAAGTCACGAGGAAGCCGATGAATTCCTCGGATTCCGTCGTTTTCCCTAAAGAGCGGGGGCACACGTACGCGGTTCTCCCGGCTGGTTTCCAGGATCAACTGGGGGGAGGAGATCACTATTTCGTCGTCGGTGTCCTCTACGACGTTGAAGACTTGAATTCCCTCCTACCCTCAGATAATACCTTGTGAGTGTTTTCTTGTTAACATTTTAAGTCCAATCGTCCAACATATACCGGTTGTCCCAGAAGAAACCTTCCGACCTTGGTGCGTCTGCAGACAGGACACCTTGACAAGTATCGTCTTGAAGTTTTCTGCGTCTTCTATATACAGTATATATATATTACGCTAAGTGATCTTCGAACTTATCTTGCACTTAGTTCAGGCGCTATTCTTTGCACAATCGCTCCTTTGATATCGCGAGGGAGAAAAATTGTTACTCATCTATTTTACTTCCAATTTCGATTAAATATTTGTTACATCTATTACACCTGCAAATATTACATGTAAAAGTCTGTCAATTTCATGCCGATAACTCTAATGATACGTCCCTGCAGGCGTGTAAATTTCGGGCCATATGTTAGCCCGCATCTGCAGGACTCGATGGCTCCCCTTCCATTAATGCCTCCATTAATTCTTGCAATGCCGAATGCATTTTATGATTGTTCACTCTTTTTATTAATTTGCTCGTATTTGAGAACTGATTCCTTATAAAGAGTCAAATTCTAATATTGCTTCATGAAGATACGTAGGATTTTTACTCAGAGAAATCGGTAAATCCATGTGATGCACATTCGTCAATTTTCGAATTTCAAGTTCTTTTTTCAATAGGCAAATGCTTCAACTGGATTTTTGATTCACTTCATTCACTTCCCGACTGCGCCAGTTAGTCTGAAAGGCGTCTGCAAAACCGAAATGCGTCTATAGCCAAGACATGAAGGTTGGTGTGAGTGCCCTCGCATCGTCCAGACCAGGTGCTCAACTAATTGGTGGGAAGGTCCACTTAACTAATGTCCCGGCTGTGTCGCGGTCCTGAAATAAAATTCCTGCGCGAGAGGTGGCATTCGTTGTCAGATGATGTTACATTTTTGTCTAATGCTTTGGGAAGGACCTGCCACGAAATTTGAGGATCGCTGAGGCGAAAGGGGGGGCGGGATGCGATTGAGAGTCAAATTAAGAGGAGATTTTCTCCAGACCAGGAATATGGAGGTATTTGGAGCGTCTTCCCTGCTTTGAGACCATTATTGCCTTCTCCCAACGCAGAGGAGGGGCAGGGGAAAGAAGCCAGAAAAAAATCAGAAATGGGAAAGAAATGAACACTGGACAGCTGCAGGAATAATTGGGAAGACATGTCAAGATTCAGGACTGAGGCCTGTTTCCAGACATTGAAAATTTGTTAAGTTAGTTATAGCTATTGAACCCAATTCAGATTTGAATTACAGAATTACAGAGTTCCGAACTATAGTCATTCGAGGCATTCTATGAATTTCCTGGAAGGATATGAAACTTTAGCTAGCATTTCAGGCTATGCCCGAGAATTCGAACCTTAGTTCCGTTTCGAGAGAACTTCATGGTGATTCCGTCAGACAAAAATATCAATTCCACATGAGTAATCGATCCAATGAGACGAGGGAAAAGCCCCCTTAGCAAGCTGTGAAACTTCGCAGGCATTCTTGCGGTAGGGTTAAGAAAAACGCAAAGGCATTTCCACCCTGACTTGTATTTAATCAGCTACTTTGGTTTGGTGCTCGATGATAGCACAGACATCAGGGACACAGCTCTGCTACTCGTTTTCATAAGAGGCATCAATGACACGTTTGAAATCACTGAATACTTGCAAGCTAGGGAATCTCTGAAGGACACTACAACGGGACAAGATTCTTTTGAAAGAGAGGAGAGTTCCTTCGAAAGATTGAAGTTGCCTACGGAAAAGTTGGTTAGTTATGACATCAGAAAAACGTTGAGCTTTTGAAGAGAATGAAGAGAAAGTCTAAGAGATGAATCGAGATCAAGAAGTCATATTTCTTCATTGCATCATCCACCAGGAAGTGCTTTGTATTTGATGCCTGAATTTGAAGCATGTGGTAAGCCCAGTCGTTAAGCTGGTCAATTTTATTCGAGCGATGGGGGGCTAATTCATCGGCAATTCATTGCCCTGCTTGAAAACATCGATGCAGAGCACACCGATATCAGGTATCCCACCAATGTCCGTTCGCTTAGTTTAGGAAAAGTGTCGAAGAGAGTGTTGCAGCTGAAGGAAGAAATCATCACGTTCTTGGAAAGGAAGGGTAAAGATGAAGATTTCCCAGAGCTCAAAGAAGCATGTTGGCTCTCTGACTTTGCCTTTGTCATGGACGTTATGGAGCATTTGAACTACTTGAATCTAAAACTGCAGGGCAGTGTTTGTGCAGGAACTGTACTCAACGGTAAAAGCATTTCAAGTCATTCTAATCCTGTTTTAGAGGCAGGTGGACAGCGTGTTTTCGAATTTTCCAACTCTGTATAGCATCCTGAAGTTCTGGAGTCATCCTTAATTCAATTCAACTGGCGGAAGAAGAATTATACCAGAATCTATATTTTTGCTGCAGCGAATTGGGCAGAAGTAGAAAGTGAAACTTGGCACACAAATAGATGTTGCGATGATAAGTTCTATGAGAATTCTATGAGAATTCTACGTTCGAGACATATAGGGCCCAGGTTTTCGGTTAATGATTTTTTTTATTAATACGTTTTTGTTCAAGTTAAACAAGCGAAGGTAGAAAATATATGTTAAGGGTGTAGGTCTTTTGGTAATCATTTAGTAAAAATATATCATTAGTGGTAAATTTTTTGGTGGAGATTTATTTCAGGGTTTGTTTTGCTATAAAGAAATCCATAGACTTAGATAGCTGAATAGTGATTTACTAATAGCTATTCAGCTCCCTAGATCAGCAAATAATTTATTGAATTATTAAATAATTTATATAAAATTTATTTACAATAATTTTTAAATCTATTGGCCTTTTTGCGGCTCAGCAGGTTGCTTTTTTTCCCGCTCAAGCAAAACGCGAAGACACGGAGAGCTGACAATTTCTAAACAATTCTGAAAAAACTGATATTTTAATTGAGAATTATAATTTGAGAATCTTAAATTTTAAGTTAATCCCCTTAGGAAATTTTTTTTGCAAATGCGTATTTTACCTGAAATGTAAATATTTATGTTTCAACGAATCAGAGAGAGATAGAAAGTTGAATCTTGGTTTCTAGCAATTGGGATGCTGAGTAAAACAAAAAATCTTGTGAAATATATCCCCTTGGGACAGATTATTAGGAGGGGGGGGGGGATATGCAGGATGACATGAAGCGAGTACCAATGGTTGACGTTTTTGCTACTGACATTGAAGAAGACTTTTTTTAGTGCTTGTAAATTGTATATGTACCGACCTCGGAATAGTTTCAGATCTTTTCATCTATCAATTACCGGTAGTCATGACGGAGAATGAATTTTCCAGATATGGTGTTTCAGAATTTTCTTCGTTGGAATGGGAAAATGGAGACAAAAATTCGAAGAAAAATTAGCCTTTGACTTTATTCTACCAGCTTCTTGCATTATCGCTGTATTGATTGAATGAAATTGATTTTGGAAATTGAAAATCATAAAAATTGAAGAGTCGACTCGAAAGGAGATGTTCATCCAAGGAAACTGAGTATCGTCAATTTGTTAGATTGTGAATGAAGTCACATAATGGAAAAGAGCGTGACAGAGCAATAAAGCTTACCACTAATTTAAGGAATTTATCCCAATGGTCGAAAACATATCTTTCAAATGAGTGAATCATTTTAATAGTTCTTCGAACCATGAAGGCGCTACCTGAAGAGCAACGAAACTTCCTATGGTCGCAGATGACCTTGACACTCGAAGGAGTGCATGGGGGGACATATGCCGAAAGGTATATGGCAGCAATGAAAAGATATCCATCCATGTCAGATACAAGTCTAAAATATTTATTGATTGCGCATTTGGGCATGTGTTCTGAAAACTGTGAAAATATAATGTAGCTCGTTGAATGTTTACGTTCCATTACAAAATTCACAAAATAACTTAAAACTTGAGTTACATGCGTTCCATGAATTACGCTAATTCTACTATCAACTTTTCGCATCTAATTTCTCGTCGGCTTCACAGGTTCGGTGCAGAGATGAAGACGGACTCGTGGTTGCTCAGCCTTTCTCTTAAGCATGATCGAAACGAGTTGGAGCTGAAGAATCCTCTGCAGCTCACATTCCAAAACAAGGGGCCACCGAGAGATCCGCCTTATCGGAGTCTCCACCAGGGGAAGAAGCAGACCGTGCCAGAAAGTTTTCGGTGCGCCTTTTGGAACGTAAAAGAGTAAGCATTTTTCGCGCTCGAATGGGTAAAATTGATCGTTCTTATGATACATCAAATCCCATACGACGCCACAAAATCCATGTTGCAACGTAACATCAACATTTGCACAAAGAATTTTAAAAGACTCTAAGTATGACTTCCACCATCGTATAGTGAGCGTTGGGACGATAGGGGATGTTCGATGGTTTCCCTGAAGAAGAATCAGACGATCTGCCAGTGTTCCCATCTCACCGATTTTGCAGTCCTCGTCGTAAGAATCCTCATCTATGGTTCCATTTATCGATTACTTAAATTTGGCATATGCCAAATTCAGGTTCATAAATTAGGCGGAATATATGTAGCTGAACGAGACATCCACGTTCGAGAAACTGGACAACCTCACGTCTTGGATAGAAAACGAGGAGGACCTGACGGGGGAGGAGATTCAAGCCATCGTGAATTCATTGGATGACCTGCTGGATGACTTTCTCAACGATCTAGAGAACGACCTTGGGGGCTCATTCGACCCAGTGGAATTCCTCAGGAAACTGACCGTAATTGTAGACCTCACCCTGGATGCCTTTGACGGGTGGCTGAATATCACGGAGGTGGGTTCGCTGGTCCTTTATCTGCAATGGTATTAATTGGTGCATCATTATCCTAAGGAAGTTGGGATGCCCATGCAAAGATATTATTCTGCTAAAGCTGTGAGGCTTTTTTCTTGTGTACATGAAGGTTTCACATGCTTTCAGAAACGGAGGCCTCATTGCAAGGTAAAGATGAAATATGCAGGCCTAAATCTGGGATCTGCTTTTGCAAGCTTATTGTGAGACGATGGTGCAAATGTTCCCAAGTACAACCCCAAGTTACAAAAGTAGAAAAGGTTGGGCTACATCCCAGAGGGGGGTGGAGCTTGAGAGCCAGTGGCGTCACTGGTATACAGTCTCCTTGGCTGACTGATAAAAAAACTCCTTTTTCTAGTGTATTCCCCCTATGTTAAAAATGTCATATCGGTTAGTTTTTTCTTGCCATATTACCTTGTACTTTGCGCCTCCATTCTATTGCGCTTGAACGATTGCATCTCTAGATTGGGCACTGGGAAAGGTTCATAGCATTCTCAGATGCCGATCGTATGTGCAATCGCCGCCTGCAAGAACATATGAAGATTTTGGAGCCAACAGAGAGAAACTTTAGTTTCATCGTTTTAAAGGAACCAGGGTTGGGAAAGATCAAAGTGATGCGGTGGAAACGCGCGGAATATGAAATTCCTGAAGTGGACCGAGGCAAGGATCCCAAAGCAACCGCTTAGGGTCGCCGAGATGGTTATCTTTCGCCGAGATGGTCCATGTCAACCATGGAGTATTCCTAATATTTGTAAGAACGCGGTGGTTCATCTGAATTCTCTTCATAAATTCTGAGTTGCTCAGCAAGGGCAAGAAGGTTAGGAAGAAACGGAAGTCTTTCGTTGAAGTGGTGAGAAGGAATATCCTTATGGTGTTCGTGAAAATCACATGATTTACCATGACCATGACAAACAAGCTCCCATCCTCTGATTTCGGGATACAGCAACACAGCTGACAATGAACGCATATTTGTATTAACATTTCAAAAGGGCAAATGATCCATGTTAAACAATTTCTGTAAATAAAAAATTCTCACTACAGTCGCATCCCCCTCGAACTTTTCAGTACGGAATCCTTCCCGCCTCTTTCCCATTTGACGCCTTATCTTCAGCAATTAAAGGGATATTTTTAAATGAGCGATTGGAAATGTGGTCATCATGCTTGAAATAATATCATTACATCGGAGGAAAACCAATGGCGAGAATGAAGCAGTTCGGAAGCATGACGTCGTTTGCCTTACGGCTAGAACCGCCATTATTAGGGGCTTCGCTTTCTACCAAACCTTATCTACTTTTCTAACCTGGAGTACAACCCATCCCTAAAATTTACAGTAATTCGAAACAGATGGAGTGAAATATTTTATGTCCATCATCTCGTCTATCTTTGTCACGAATCACTCTGAAACGCGTATTGCAGGGGGTCCGGAGCGAGACGTTCTCCTCACTGACGGAAACGATGGCAAAGGCGGGACTGGAAGTTGCCTACTTCATGTTCAATCATCACGACGAGGAGCTGGCTTTCAACATGTCCAGAGATCATCTTGCGGTGGAAGCCTGGGGGAAGCCGAAGAACTCGGGTTCCTTCGTCTTCCCTAACAGGAGGGGCCACACCTATGCCGAACTCCTAGATGGTTTCCAGGATCAACTGGGGGAAGGAGATCACTACTTCGTCGTCGGTGTCCTGTATAGAGTGGATGACTTGAACGCCCTTTTACCTGCAGATGACATCTCGTGAGCGTTTCCTAGTTTAAATTTTTTTATTTCGATAATCCATTATGATTTTCATGGATGTAGATGGTACTCAGGTTACACCGCATCTGCGGGACTGATGGTTGCACAGCCGTTATTACCCCTACAAATTCCAATGTGACTGAATGTATTCTATGGTTGTTCGCTCCTCTTGTGGTATAGTTCGTTTTTGCGAGGTTATTCTGTATGAATAGTTCAATTTTAACCTCGCTGCTTGAAGGTCGCATCCGTTGCGCTGATACCATAGTGAAGTGTAAGTCATTCTATGTCAAGTGGTCCGAATTATTTCCTCTGTAATCCTTAACCAAAATCAATTAAGGATTTCACTATAAAGAGCCGCGCATACTAAAAGTAAGTAGAAACTAGCAAGTTCAATGTTTCAGCAGCTAAGGTCTAAAGTTCTTCGAGAAAATGTTCCTTTGATGTTTCGTGGGAAAGGCTTGAATCACCTTGGGAAATGCATCTCCCAAAATGCGTAAGCTGAAAAGCTGGTTAATGACCCATTTTGATAGCGTGAAGTCAGGCAATCATAACCTCTTCCTTCTATTATGTCTTTACTTCGAAAAAAGGTGCAAATAATTCAAAGGTAAATATTTTTAAATATCGAAGCCAAAAATAACCCATGTGCATGTCACTTGGTCAATTTTGGGATGTCCTTCATGCCCGATGAGGTTTGTCCGAAAGTATATTTAAGTAGTTTCGCACTGGTTCAAAAACCTGCTCTGTGCATTTGAACTTAAAACTAGTGACAGGTAAACCCTCTGCAAACCGGAGGAAATCTAATGCTCCATTGTATTGGAAAGAATCATCATGATATTGATATACTACCGCCCAAGTGGCACCGAAACGTTTAAGTGTGCGTTCAATACCTAAAATGAACGTTTCATTTAAGGTTTTGCAGAACGTTCCATTAACACCCTTTTCAACGTTCTAAATATCCGAAATTTAGAGCTGTCAAAAACAGTTCCAATTACGCGTTCCCGTGAATTCATAGAGAACGTGAATAGGTTATTCCTAAGAAAAGGGATCAATGAACTTTTTTTTCTGGATTCTTCCAACAAGCAATTAACTTTTGGATAGCATCTTTTCATCACTTAAATTACATTCAGTCCAAGTAAAGTCCTGCTCCCGTGACAGCCGTCAGAGGCTATCGTTTAGCCGATTATCAACTTCTAAGTACTATCTTCCCAGTTAGAGAGTTACAAAGCAGATAATAAGGGTGAATATACAGTAATATGTGCGATGGTTGAAAAATGGGGTGAATGCATTTGGAGGCGCATTTCCACCTGCACGTCTTCATTCCCTCCCTAAGAGGCTCGCATTGCACTCTTTAGGGTCTGCAGGTTCTCCTTACTACCAAGTGGATGCATGGGCACCGTCGGGGTATGCATTAGTCCTTTCAGCTGAAAGTCTGGAGTCATCCTCACCCCGCTTTGCTCGCTCCTGCCGGAGGGATGACCCCCTCGGGCTAATCCTCACCCCAGAAGTCAGACACGCCTTCCCATAGATTATATTTGTCACTTCTTGCCTTCTACCAATGCGACTGCAATTTGGGAAAACAATAGAATCTTTGAAGAACCTTCGCACTCATCGTTCGTGAGCGCTTTCAAAGGACTGAAGGTGATGTAGGCAGTGGACTTCTTCGCGGAGCCCGTGTGAACGCAAGTGGCGACGAGCGAACGGCGGAGCCCGTGTGAACGAGGATAGCCTCGTAATTCATCACGGACGCTTAAAATCCCTGGATTCACAGCAGCAGGTTGGAGACATTGCTGCGAGCGATGCCAGCGCTCCATTTCGAGTACCACGGCAACTCTCGTCTCCTCGTCCATATGAAAGAGGCGAGATGAGTGCCTATTCACCGGTTGGGAAAGTTGAAATTTTGCAGAAATTCGTGCAGCCTGAAGTCTCTGGGTGGCCTAATGGACATGAATTGCCCTTCTAGTAGGATGGTCTCCACCCCATTTCGCTGTCAACATGCGCAACTGGTTGGTCAACAATTTTCGCCGCAGGTGGATAGGTAGGCTTGGACCAACAGATTCGCCTGCAAGAAGCTCTCATCTCACTCTCTTGGACTTCTTTTTTTGGGGGGTTGGGTCGAGGAAAATGTTTACTCAGGAAAACCAAGATATCCGGCACCTTCACCTGCATGCTGTCCATAAAAGTAACTGATGCTCTCAGTAATGAGGGATGAGGTTTTTTGGCCAGAGCGGTGGCCATGCAGCCACTAATGCTTGGCACCAAGGTGAGAATTCTCCCCCGAGTTTCATGACGATCATGTTCACTCCCAGTGGCAAAGCTTGCACATCCTTAAGGGTGCAGGATCTCACCTTTATTATTTACTACGCTCATAAAATAATCACGATATCAGACACCGTACGATTATTATTTTAACTCATTGCGTATTCGGGCATATATTCCAAATGCGTTTAAAATGTATGGCGAACTCGTAGAATGTTTTTGCTGCAGCATTGGCGTTACCTCACGTTACATCAAGTTTTGGGGTCAGGGTTAATTCGTAAATGAATTATGAAATTCATTCACAGAATCAACCTGAACTAATATATTTTTCCGTGTATCCCTTCAGCAAGTTCTACAGCTTATCTCTTAGCATATCTCATCGGCTTCGTAGGTTCGGGGGAGAGACGAAAACGAACTCGCAGGTGCTCAGCCTCGCTGTGAAGCACGATCGGCAGTTGGAGCTGAAGAATCCCTTGCGACTCACATTCCGGAACGAGGTGCCGCCACGTGATCCGCCTTATCGGGAGGTCTGGCGGGATCAGCATGAAGGGGAGCCCACGACGTTCGTGTCTCAAAGTCATCAGTGCACTTTCTGGAATATAAAGAAGTAAGCATATATGCCACCTTCACGACGAGGTAGAATTTTTCGTTTTCACAATGCAGCCAATCCCACACGACGCAAAAAGCGCTACATTTTAACATAGCAGTAAAATGTATCCTCAGGGAGAATTCCAAAGGGCTATAGTAACGTTTCCACTCTTGCTTGCGGTCTTCGATAGGGAAAAATGGGACGATGAAGGATGCTGGGCGGTTTCCTCAGACAGGGACGAGACGGTCTGCGAGTGCAAACATCTCACCAACTTCGCGGTCCTCATGGATATCCACGGATATGTCGTAAGATATTCTCATCTATTATGAAATTTCTCATCGATGGCTCCATGAATTGTTGGCATCGATACAGCGATGGCACGTTTCGTTTTTCCATAGGGACGAAGTACGGCATTGGAAGTGTTGTCCATTTCGCTCTCGAGTCTTTCCATCCTTGGCCTCGTCCTCGCCCTTCTGATCTTCATAACGATCGATGTCAAGTTCGTTCTCTGGTTTTCTCTGAATTCGAAACTTCATTGCGTTTTTTTCTGCTTGATAAGCATATTCTCTTCGTCTTTGGTGCAGAAACACAACCAAGTTAAGAGCGCTGGAGCTGAACAAGCACCTCTGCCTGTGTCTCCTGGCTGCACATCCATGCCTTCTTCTCCTAATGGACAGGCAAATCTTCAATTTCTCTGAGGTGAATCTCTTTCCATCTGAGCAGAATCCACCACTCCGTCGCGTTGAGCATTTTCTCCCACGTTGTCTAGGCGACCCGAGGAACTATCTCATCACAGGGTTCTTTGCAGATGGAATCGTCGAAGTCAACTATTAAGATGGGAGTGTTTAACAGTACCTTTAAAAAGAAATCCTACCCTGGAAAGGGCACCGATTTAACTTATTCCCCAATGAATTTGTTAATCTAATTTAATAGGTAATTGATGAATTGCGTGTATGAACGATAATCGTATCCATATTGATAATCGTTTTTCCATGAAAGTCTCGGATGGAATAAGAAAATATTAGCGTCTCCTCAAAACGGAGTGTTGGTTTCTCCATACACTTCAGTGAAAAAAAGTGTATCTGTTTGGAACTCATTCGATTCATCTTTAACACGTTGACGACCAGCCTATTTTTGCTTGTCCGCCGCGTGGGACCACGTGCATTTTTTTTTGTCAAAAAATATATTCAATACAAGACAATAACAATAAAAAAGAATTCATATTTGAAAAATTAGAATTTAGAAGTTTTCTTTATGTAGGAGAGGAATTTCCAAAACCAAATCTAATTACCTTCTCCCTCACCATCCTGGCATCAGGACGCATTGCCGCCAACGTGTTAATACGTGATTGAAACATCGCCGAGCCAAGCATTTGCTAACCTCTCCTCACTTCACTGTGAACACCGCAAGGCCTGCTCGGATGCTCTCTAAAGCAGTTTCTCGTTTTATCCTCGTTTGGTAAGGATTTATCTCGTGTCGAGTCTGCGGCATTCCTGAAATTACACTAGTTTTCCAGCATCAACGTGTATATCTTAATTGAGTCAAACAATTATTTAAGGGTAAGAACCTCGTCAACATACTGCTCATCTCACAGTATCTTTTACCTTATCTCATTCGGATTCGTATACGTATAGTGTAGAGTGAAGGGAACGAAATGTAAAAAAAATGAATGCAAATGAACTCTTGACCTCTTTTTGGTGGAAACCAGACTGGGTGCGCCGTGTCCGGAGTGGTGCTCCATTATCTGTTTCTCAGTGCCTTCACGTGGATGGCACTGGAAGGGATTTTCGTCTATCGGCGGCTCGTCCTCGTCTTCCCTACCGGCACGAACTTCTCCGTGTGGACCTACTACATTGCTGGGTATTGCTTGCCGGGCCTCGTCGTCCTCGTCACTGCGACTGTCTCTTTTCTGACGAACACCAGGGGATACGGAGCCGGAGAATTGTACGACTAGAAGTAACTTTTCTCGTGTTGATCTATGCAATGCGGTGAATCCATGGTGGTCTTCGGTTTCCCTTACAGCTGCTGGCTGTCGTCGCCGTATTATATCTGGGCGTTTGCTGGACCCGTGCTCTTGGTCATCTTGGCCAACTTCATCATCATGTGCCTGGTTATGAAAAGTGTCTGGCAGAGGGGAAACGTAGGGCGTTCTCCCCAGAGAAGTCACGTGTACGTTCAGTTCTTAAAGTTCTTATGGGTGTAGCCATTTTTGGCTGTGAGACGTGTGCACTTCGTTCTTCCTATCGTACATTCTCGGACGCAGTTCCTTTCCCACCTGAAAATGTAAACCTTAACTCCCTATGAAACTTCATTCCTGTGGAGAGGGGTGCCTTTGACAGGGCAATTAGTGTCGGAATGATGTCCCGTCTGTTCCACGCTTGATGTGGGGATTGCAAAAAGATAATGTTTTCTTTTGACATTATCATGTTCGTCATGGGATAATGGAAAAAGGGTATGCTGAGAACGGTGAGGAACTGGAAAATTGTGTCACGTAAATTGGCGCGATGAAGTGAACAATTATCTACTTTCGGCTACTAATTATAGGAAGACCGATCGCCGTGACTTTTTAGCTGCCACCTGTTTAATTGAAAATGCAGAAAAATTCGTTAAGTCAAGTTCATGCTGGGCACAGATTTCTTTATTGCCTGAAATAATTCTTGGGAAAGCCAAGCATGGATTACAAAATCTTTTCCAGGACAACTATGTTCGCGATTAACTTGATTCACACGGTCTTTCTTTCCCTATCTGTGATATTCGTTTAGACGCACTTAGGTTTGAGAGGAAAACCAGATATATAAGTTCCAAATGTGAACATGGGAGCAAAAGCGCCGTGCGGGATATCTCGTAAATACATAATATGGTTTTTTTGTGTCTAGCATCGAAAAGACTAAAACAATCACGTATGAATTTTCCCTCTCTAAGTACGACTAGCATAAGCTTAAAATGGCTATAGACCTGGTGACACTTTCCTGACTGGGAATTGGCGTGAAATTGGAATTTCCTAACCAATTTGACCTAGTGGTCAAGCCGACCACCACAATACACTCATAAGAAAGGGAAGTGAAACAAGCCAAAACAGCATATCCTTGAAATGAAATCTGGACGTGCTTGTAGTGCCTTCGTGAGGACAACTTTGACCCTGTCCTGCCTGCTGGGGATCGGCTGGGTCTTCGGCTTCTTCTACATGCAGATCACTCCTGTCTTCGCCTACTTCTTCACGATTGCGAATGCGTCCCAGGCAAGACACTACATGCCGCTGCGATGCGCGTCAGCGGAGCGGGCTCGATATCGATGGTCTTGCGTCTGTGTTTCAGGGTTTCCTTATCTTCGTCTTCCATTGCCTTCTTAATAAGAGTCTGATGAGATCTTCCCGCGTGGGTCGCCTCTTCTGCGGCCGTGTAAGTTCTCGGGCCTTTCCTCTTCCTAGATAGTCTTGTTCTTTTTAGAGTGCATTTGAAGGATGGTGAGGGAGAAGGTAATTAGATTTGGTTTTGGAAATTCCTCTCCTACATAAAGAAAACTTCTAAATTCTAATTTTTCAAATATGAATTCTTTTTTATTGTTATTGTCTTGTATTGAATATTACTGTAACTTTGTAAATTTATAGCGAATTCCGAGAATAGTTTTCTACTCGGAGCATGCCCCATCAGGCAATAGGAGTAAATGCATAGATTTTCTCGATAAGTTGAATCTTCACCTCCGAGGAAAAACTGTTCCCTGATGCTCAATTCGTTTTAGTTGCATGCATTTTTAATGAATAAAAAAGGAAGAAACTCCAATGAGAGGGGGTAGTGAGAGGAAAGTGAGAGGGGGAATTGATTAGGGAATTAAAGCATTCATATAACAGCGAGCTTGACCTGAATAACCTCCAACAACTTGTACGAAATATATCGTCTAAAGAAGATTAGAACTTTTTAGTGGCAATACCTTTGAGTCAAGAATTGTGAGGCATGACCAATTTTTTCTGTACGCAGGGTGTAGCAAAGGGCGAATCCATTCGCTGGAGTGCAGGAGTCCCCTCGACCCTCGTAACGCCTCAGTCTCAGTGACTCAGCGAGTCGCTCTCCCCCGCTCGTGGAAACAAATTTTACAGGGGGAAGTCTCCGGAGGATGGTGGCATTCATCGCTTCTTTAATTTTGTGGCTGCAGGCCTCCTACAATGATGTTATAGCGATTTTTATTAATGTTTCGATCATGATTTTGTCTATTTCTTGTTCGGTGTTGGATGCATTTCCCTCCCTCTTTCGCATTAATTGAGAAATTTGGGCTTCATTTTTTATTATAAATATAAATGCAAATGAAAGGCGAAAATCTATTAGGCGTATCGGTGATTCTTCATATTGTCCTTAAGACGTTTCTCTTTGAATATTAACGTATTTTATGCTAATATGGTTCTGAAAGTTTTACTCGCCCAGGTAATGCGGTAAAATCTGGTTGGGTGTGGACATTAAAGCCCAGCCATTAGGGTCCATTCTAATCCAATGTGGCCAATGGGATGTGTTCCTTGGCGCAAATACCAGCCCTTTCCCATAATGAATGAATATATATTTCAGAATAAAGAGCTGACCGAGGAGCAGCGACATTTTGAGCTGCAGATAGTTTTATAATTTCATCGTTTCATCGTTTAGAAATAGTTTTCAACCTAAACTTGAGAATTATTGCAAATCCCTCTTTCGCCCGAAACCCTCTTAAATTGAGATGCTAGAAAGGGTAACTTTTCGCAGTGATGCCGCGTACGGAAAGCATGGCCGTGTCAAAATGAATTCAGAACGACTTGGATCAAACATAGACGATGGTGACTGACTGACAATAATTCTAACCATGTTCTAGATATGATGACTGACTGAAACTTGGTACACAAATAGCTGTTAGTTTGCTGACTCCAGAAAAATTCCAACTCTGGAGTTGAGCGCCCTGGGGGCTCATTCCTGGGGGTGTCGCATTTTGTAATCCTACGCCTTACCCTCAGACAGACACTTAGGCCTATTCCATTCTCAGACACACACTTCCTTCAATAAAACGGAAGGAACGTGAGTGGCTGCTAGGTTGTCGACTCCAGAAAAACTCCAACTTCGAATGCCCAACTTTGGTGGTCCATGCCCTGGGGGCACGTTTCAGGAAGGGGGTGAGACGGATTTAGCAGGCCTAGGCCAAACCCATGGATGGGTGCTTAGGCTAACAACACACTCATACATTTTCTTCCTTCAGTGAAGAGGGGGGGAGAAGAAGTAGCTGTTTTATTTCCTGCTACAGGTGAAGTTGGACATAGAAGGACCGTGCCCTGAGGGGATTGAGTTAGCAGACATATAGGTAATCCTTGGAAAGACGCGGACCCAGGTAACGCATCCATGTGGAAACAACATTGAAACAATGTTTCATGGCAACATTTATGATGTTGAAACAACATTGAGGTGCCACATTGATTCAATGTGAAGATGTCATTTTATCAACATTGTTTCAATATTGCAATGGAATGCTGAAACAATATTGATGGCAACATTCATTCAACATTCCTCAATGAGTCCCTCGTGATTGGGTTTCTCCACGGATCAAGTAGAGGTAAATTCTGAAGTGATGAACTACATGTACGAAAGAGGATAAATCCTCTTCAGTATCTTTAGGTCAGTACCCACAGAGCACTGAGAAGTTTGAGAGAATGGGTCCTCTTCAGTTCTGCAAACAGCGCCAAAGCCTTGTATACCTAACTGGTTTTCAAAACGAGGATAAATTCTCTCAGCTCCTCTCTTAGGAGATTTGTGAATGGATCACTTCAGGTTATTTTTGTGTGTGCTCTACACGTCTCTAATCGCCTAGATTTCTATGCGCTCACACTAAACCTGGACATTTAATTTGTTTCAAAATCAGATTCTGCAATCAGAACATCAAAACTCCACATTTCTCTAATATATGTGTTCATTAATTACGTAATAAAAAGAGGAAAGTGGGAAGAAAACGCTTTAATGGAAGGTGACAGATCCCTAATTGCATTAGGAGGCTACAGGGGAACATGGATACCATCTAGTGAGCACTCTTCGTACTTCATTATGATCGCGCCTAGACTACACCACCGTGGTAACATAACTTCCATAAGAAGATGCAAGACGTCTCCGCGATGACCGTAGGATAATTGGAAATAGTTTATGTATTTGTTTCCGAATACAAAAAAAATCATTATTCAAATACTTGATAATAGACGGCATGCAACTCAATAGTTGAGGAGTCTCATTTTTTCCACATTGAAACCATGTTGTGGTAGGTTGATAGTACTCCGAAAACCTATTGGAGAGGTCCAACTCTTTATCATTTTAAGAGGGGTTAACAATTATGCCACATCTAATAAATATAATCCAAATAGTCCTCAATTGGAATACACAATGTGATGCGACGACATTGTATCAACATTGAAACAATGTTCACCTTCAACCCTCAACATTCGCGCACTCAATCCACATCCAATCCATGTTGATTCAATGTTCTGTGTTACCTGGGATAGAAGTAATGATTTTGATAAAAATCAAGACTTTCGACCCCATATGTCACGTATTTCAATTACATTGTATCAACATTGAAACAATGTTCACCTTCAACCCTCAACATTCGCACACTCAATCCACATCCAATCCATGTTGATTCAATGTTCTGTGTTACCTGGGTTGTCTCTTGAAAAATCAGTTCTTTTCCGCATCGCATCTGGATATCGGACCCGTTCGGGCATTCTTTAAATCCCTTAAGAATCGTGAGAATCATCAGGCTTCGAAAGGAAATGGACTCGTATTTCTTAAAGCGATTCGATGGAGGCGTCTGTCCCTGCAACGATTCCCCCTAGGCTTGAGAGAGATTCGCGGCCGTGCTCGGACCGATTTTTCTTTTATGAACGGAGGTAGAGGGATCGCATACGGGATCATCACACTCGTCGCAAATATTGATACATCATTCATCGCGAGAACGAGGCACTGATTCGACCGAAAAGTCACTAAGGCTTCCCCAAAAAATTGCACCATCGTCCGGACCCGGGCAGATCGCATCGAAGGACCCGGGAAGGGTCGGGGTCATCCCACACTGGGACGATACGATGTCCCGATGCATGACTCCCTCGCGTCGGATCTCGGTGGAGGCGATTTCATCCCTTTAGTTTTCTCCTTTGCAATGCATCCTGGATCGTTTCGGATCGGATACTCCCTCCTGCTCTTCTTCCAAGCGACGCTCTGCTGCGAGAAAACCGTTTCATGCGAGACTACCTTCAGGGCTTCATTTAGATGTAGATGGGAAATTAATCGGTGTGGTGTCTTAGCAAGTGCGAATCCCCTTTACAATCCCCTTTTTCTTTCATGTTGCGTCTTCAATCAGTCAATGCTGTTTTTACTGCAGTTACCTTGAAGCTCGAGGAATCAGTCTTTTTGACGCCAGGCTTTCCTGGAGCTTTCTCTAGACCGGGATCAAGGACGTTCTTAGCAAGGCCAGTGTCGGTTGAGGACAGCGTATCAGCGAAAGGTTGAGGACCGAACCAGCTCAGCATCACCGGCAGGTAGACCAATCCATGATACAACCCGTATATCACCGAAAACCAGATGATCTGCCGCATAAACGATAATTGGACGTTTTGCTGGTATGCACATTTGTGATCGAATTACAGTGGGGGTATATGGAAACTCACCTTGAGAGTAACTATGATGAGAAAATTTCCGCTCCAAAAGCAAAACACGAACGCCATCATTGTCGTAAAGCCTCCATTGAAAACGGGAGGACCTATTTCTGCCATGGTGATTCTCACTCGGTCTATGAAGATGAACGTAACTTTTACCCTCGTTGTGCTACTAATTAGCGGAAAATTGCAAGTGAAGCTCTTCTTTTACCATCTTTAGAATCGCCATGAGTGACCATGAATTTATGAGCGATGTGGGTGGAATAGTCAACGGCCAACCCGACAGACAAGATGAGAAGTATGGACGTCATGAGCTCGATGGTGAGGCCGGTGAATCGCATGCCGCCTGCGATTCCGATGAGTGTGAAGAGAATGCAGGAGAAAACCCAAAGAGACACTTTGATATCACCAACCAGCACCAGTGTCACCACGAACACTCCCACCAAGGTCAGACTGAGATTCCTCACCAACTCCTCGATTAAATTCTTTGGAATAAAATACAAGGAATGATTAAGGAAAGTCCTCATGCCCCTAGGTGACTATCTCGAGTCGCGAGAAAATGTAATTAATTACAGTTTAAATTTATAAAAAAATAAGAGAGAGGTTAGAGGAGACAGAGATAAATCATGAACGTCAAACCGAACTACAGGGCAGTATTGTATCAGCTAATCTTTCTGGGAACAGGAATGATCTAATCCACTAATCCAGATAAGCGAGAATGCAGAACAGGAAGAAGGCTGTCAAAGAATTCCAAGAAAGGGCAAGCCGCTATTAAAAGTCTTTTTGATCATTCCCGTTCTTAACCTTCATCTGCGGACAACTTCTCGTCAGTTCCAGCATTCTGTTTATTTATTTATTTATTTCCATGTTTCCTTGTCATCAGAATCAGAAGTTTATTTTCTTGATTTCGTTTCTCTGCGACCTGCAGTGATAAATTTCCTTCTCATTTCCTTGGGGGATGAGGAGGTTCACGAAGTTCATCTCATCCGTAATTTCATCTAGTTCAGTATTCATGCTTTTTCATTTAAAAAATATTTATTTAATTATTTTGACTTGACATTTAAAAAAAACCTGAATACAACATTTGTGGTAAACTGCTGGCAAATGCAGACTTTAAAATTAAAACATCATTTAGATTTAAATCACCCAACATCGAAGGATGAACCTGTCGAGTTATTTTAGAGGAAGCTCGATGAAGTGAAGAAATAGACAGGAAGAATGAATCATTTGGCTCCAGAGAAATATATTGAATACATCACTTTCGTATTTAAAAATTAAATTATCGCCATTTTACTTCAACGTCACACGGCTATATCATTTCCGGGTGTTTCTAAATTTGCAGATTTTTTGCAGATTTAAAAATTTGTACAGAATTTCCCGAATAAATACGGGAAGATGGCTAGATGAGTCGTGACATAAAAATGGTTGAGAACCACAGTCCTAAATGATGTCTACCCAAATCATTGTCAATCATTCTAATGCTAAAGCGAATTCTTAATCATCAATGGTAGAAACAGTGTTGGAAGTCCACACTGACGTGATGCGTACAGCTCAACCTTTCATTGATGTCCTCCTTAATCCGATCAGCCGTAGCTTTAGTTCTGAAGGATGCCGAGTCCCCTTGCCATTTGTTTCTAAATACCAACATGATCCTCCACGTCTCCACATCCCGGCCACATCTACTATTCCCTTCTCTTGCGTCTATGAAAGCGCCGTCCACTGACGAACGCCCCAAAAGCTTGGTTCTTCCTGAATCCTTTCGAGTAGCGCTTTCAACCCAAGTGCCATGGTATCCTGGGGTGCCTATTTTTTTTTCCTATCAGCTAGTTCTGTGGACTCGTTTCCTTCCACGTCCATACTCGTCCGAAGATGTTTCTCTATCGAGCAAGAAAAAGGTACTTACGTACTTTAAGTATTTAATTAACAATGGGATTCAGCATGCTACCAAAGAACAACATGCCAAGTAGCCTTAGCTTTTCGACTTTAGCAGACGTGAATTTCATACTTTTTTCCTTCCCCCTCCGTCGCCACAATAATGGGGTTTACGGACCAGATAGCTTAAACAAGAAATACGTGGACTTCTAGAATGAGATACTTGCCCTTTTCTTCGTTGGCGGTGCTTCATTTCGTCATTTAAAAGAAGAAAATTAACTCTCATTTATTTAGTCTCTTTGTGCGGGCTCCAGTCTCGTCTACCACAGTTGTCGAAAATCTTGCTGGAATTACGTCGGCCTCATGGCTGCCTTTCCTTCCGTGTCGGCGCCTGATGAGTATTCTGCTCTTTAGCATATACATTCCGTGTCGAGTTCATGGGATAAGATGAGATCGAAGCAGAGGTCGGCAGTGGCCGATCGATTTGGTGCAATGAATGGCAAGAATGTTCATGCACATGCCGTGCATGGACATTCTGGCCGATGATGGGGTTCAACAATAACTTCAAGTTCAATGGCAATTTGTCAAGATATTCTCGTCGAGATGGTGCGAGAAATTCAAGATAGGCCCATCGTCAAGTTCCTCATCAAAATCTCTTGAAAGCCACAAGATAATCCAGAGAGCTAATCGAAAACTAAGTCATGGATTAAGAATCACGTTGACCAAAAAAGGTAGACCTAAACCTAACTAAAAGTCAGTCCTTGGGTTAGGCTTTGCCCAGTAAGTTCCGATGTCTTGTCTAATTTGTAATTACCGGTAACTATGAAAGGTACTCCTCTCCGTAGAGAGGAGGAGGTTGGGGGCTGAAGAAAGAAAGAGAAGCTTTTGAAAGATGATTTGCAACCTAACAACACCCAAACTCTGCCAATTTGTTCTCCTCTCGGTCAAATCTTTCAGCTGCCAATGTTTGCCTAGTTCATGAGGAGGACGAAACATTATTCGCCAATTATTCGCCAATGATAAACTTCCGCGTCGAACTCGACAGGATTGATCTATGCATTAGACCAGACGTATTGCATAGGCTGAAACGATGCCACGAAGTCGATCAGATGAGCATTTCAGGTGAGAAATTGCATTTCAATGCCAGTCCACAATTGTGTCTGTTGAGAATAACTCGCCTCATTGGTTCGAATGTTTATGTACTCCGCAGAAAGACATCCTCTGAATGGATCTCTCCCCTTGAATTTGACTCCATGCAGAACCTCTTCCACCTCGTGGAGTCCTCGTCGCTTTTCTTCCCCGGAGAAGAAGAGGATGTGTTGGTATCTGCCTCTCGAGGCCTGAAAGAGCAGTGCGCGTGCGAATCCTTTATCCGAAAGATGAATCTTGGATTTACGGAAGGCATGTACTCACGGTGATGTTGAAGTCCGTTAGGAGGTTCCCGGTGTATTTAATATCGCGTAGAAAATTCCGTCCCTTGTTAGTGAAGACCAGAAAGGTGGAAAGCTTGTCTTTGAATGCTGCCTCAGTTTTCGGATAGTCCTCTGAAAAAGAACATTTCCATTACCTGATGGACTTTTTGCAAACTTGTTGAATTGAGTGTTCCGAACTGGAAGTAAACTTTTTCAAGATAGATCCCTCAATTAAATCCATCTCGGGTCGGTGGTTCATTGCATCATTTTTCTTTCACTTTGACATTTTTTGAAGTCCAACAATCTGTAGTAGAACTATTCCCAAGGCATAACTGAGACAGTGCAGGAGTAAAATAAACCCTGATACACCCAATCTCCATCGACAAACATTTTAACAGCATCTTCCCAAATCCGAATCGATCAACCCAGATGTTTCCACGTCACAATAGGCTCTAAAACAATAAGAGAAAAACAAAAACGGATACCCCATGAAAAGGGCCTTCATTTTCGAATCTGGTCATCTATTTTGAATAATTCGTGTGCCTCCCCTCTGCGTCTCCAACAGCTTCAAGACGAGCGACGTAAGATAAGAAGAGTCTCTCGAGTAGTTCTGTGTATTTTAAAAGTCTCTTAGCACAATGGTGATTCGTACTGTTTCCCTGGAGAATCGAAATTACTCGTCTTCCGCGCCCGTGAAAGATCTATCCCAGACGAACGATTTAAAGATAATATTCTAAGCCGTTTTCTAATCAGGGGAGCTTCCAGGCCCCTCCTCACTTTCAGTGAAATCGTTCGTTCTCTTTTCTGCAATGGGAAATGAGTTAATGCGCGACATCACAAATTCTTAGAAACGTAATTTCTCTCGTGCGATAAATGAAACTGATTTCTTAACACGTTGACGACCAGCCTATTTTTGCTTGTCCGCCGCGTGGAACCAGGCGCATTTTTTTTTGGTCAAAAAATGCGTCCTCCCATCAGGACGCATGGTCTCAGAAAACAGTTTTTTTTTGCCGAGTTTTTTTTTAAGTTGAATTTTTTGGAATTTTTTATCATAAATTATGAAATCATAATCTTCTGGAACGCTAGATACTCGATATCTGCGCACAATACGTTTTTTGGAACCTGCATCCTGCCATCAGGACGCATTGTCGCCAACGTGTTAACTGTCATTTGACTTCCAGAGCTATTAGGTGGAATTGATGAATTGAAAATCAAGAACGAAATCGAGTGAGGCTTTCATTTATCTTTGTTGTTTTTCTAATACGATTTAAACAGAAGAGAGGGGGCGGTATTTATGTTCATCTCCCAGAATAGAGAAAGTATTCAGATCCTGCTCTTTAGTTCAAGGATTTCAGGCTTTCGGCGTGTACTAAGAAGTAAAGCCTTTTCCAGATAATCCCACCAATTTCAATTGAAATCCAGCCAGAGTATGCAGTGCGAGGCAGTTGCGGTCCCCCTTCCCTCTGCAGTCGTCTTGCCCGAGTCTTCCGACTTAAAATCGGCCTTGAACATCATGAATACGACGAACAGTTCTTCATTCAGATGCTACTTATGTTAAACTGCACAGATGAAAAAAATATTTTCATTACTAGTTTTCAAGATTTGAGGAAACTTACCTCCTTCATCCTGGAGATACTCCAGGAAGGAGTGAAACCAGAATTCCGTAGTCCGATTCTTAATCCCAGGTAGAGCCGATAGCCTATTGAACAGTTCTTCCAGGGTTTCTTTCTCTCTGAAGTAATCCGCATTTCCTGTAAAAGATTTATTTCTCAGTCCCGAATCCACTTGATTACTTCTCGTCATTATTGCATGTACAGGTACTCATATACTCACCAAGAAAAAAGTTGACCCTGTAGCCACTTTCTGGGAATAAATGTCGAAGGGCGGCCTCGAAGTCTTTCTGATATCCTGGATCCAAATACCAGGTTTTGTCGAACTCGTTCTTCAACCCAGACAATCCCCAACAGTTGAGACCCAAGAGACCCATCGTAAGTAGCACCACGACGACCTGCAAGACATTCACTTGTACTATCACTACACCCTCGTGAAATTGTGAAAATTTCTGTCCGTCTGTCTGAACGCGTGAAGTTGACGAACCTTCACTGGAGTTTTGACGAGCAATGGCCCGAAGAACCTGTGGAAGAACACGTCGAGCAGGAGCTTTTGGGAGCAACGGTTCTTCTTGTAGTCGGCTGGCAAGCGAATGCACAAGCATCCTTCCCTCCCGCTGTCTCGTCTCTGACGAGCAATGGCCCGAAGAACCTGTGGAAGAACACGTCGAGCAGGAGCTTTTGGGAGCAACGGTTCTTCTTGTAGTCGGCTGGCAAGCGAATGCACAAGCATCCTTCCCTCCCGCTGTCTTGTCTCTTTTCGTCCAGAGACATAATCGGGACCAAGAATATCAAGGTCATGACGTAGACGACGAAAATCCCTACGGTCGTGTAGATGCAAAAGTTCCGGAGCACTGGTACTCTCTGGTCAAATGGAAAGGAAAGAATTATGGAATACAGAGAGCAGAAAAGGTCACGGTCACGAGAGGTAGAGCTCGACTCTCGACCTCTTACCTCGACTTACCGGTATACCGCCGCCCTCACCCATCACCGACTCTTTTCATGAGAACAACAATTCCATATCTACGTGGGCATTTCAATCAATAGGCTTTGGTTGCGCCCATTACCTTTCTTCAACCCCTTTCCGTGACAAAATTCAATCTCCTCTCATTCCTCTCTGACAGCATCAACAGGAATGAAATTTTGCTAGCTTCTTCAGCCCTCGACATAGAATTGCTTTGGCAAACTTGAAGTTCCATCTTCCCGGGGTTGTGGAGAACACAGAATTTTTGAAAATGTGAATTTCTTTCCTTTTTTTTCTCCTCCCCCGGAGGGATTTTCGGAGGAAAGAGACCAGTAAAAGGAAAGATATTGACTAGTAAGTGAAGAAAAAGGGACTTTTTCATTTGTTTGCAGTGCATCACTTTGCTATTAATGCATTAACCGCCGTTTAATTAAACTTAAGAGTGGTGGCTTTGGTCCCGTCCTCCAGTGACACCGGATATCGTGCCGGAGATTGTCAGATTCATGGTTTCTTCGGCCTCGGTATCAGTGTCTGGATCTTCTGTTTTTTAACGTTTGAGACATTTTTCTGCTGAGTTAGATTTTGAGAGCTGGCCAACGTCTGACTGTATGTCGGAGACCGGCATGGGTCGCCTATTCCTTCCCCGACCCAATCGGGCCAGTTCGGATCCTGGCCCGCACCCCACACGAAACTCAATCAGCTAGTGGGCCTGTAATAGTTGATCCCCCATCATAGCGTCGCCTTCCGCCAGCACCATAATATAAAAGCGCTCGTTTCCACATGAATCTCCCTCGACTGTGCACTGAATAGCATTACCTGCCGCAGCCCTTACCAATACTACGAGGGGCGTTCAGAAAGTCCCCGACCCGAGGCATTTCGAGTTGCAATACATAATTATTGCTTTTCGTATAGAAAGACGTATGTGTTTGATGGAGATTGGCAAAACTGCATCTCATTTGTCTGTGATGGACAGCTTCTGCGATTTTTTTCAATGAGCAACCAAAGGATTTGCCAAGGGGTATTAGAATTCAGGCGAGTTCCGTGATGAATAAAGGACCTTGAAGGAGTCGATGTTCTGGCTGATCTTTCTGCGGCCGAGAGGATAGTGTCCTACTGGTCTGCTGCTCTGTTGGCTCTGATCTGCTGGGAGAACGACTCTTTCAAGTATAGAAGATTCATCAGAGCATTCGTCTCCATTTTAATACTAGTTCAGTCGACCCTTTGGTTTCATATTGAAAAAAAAAATAGAAACTGCCCATCATTTACAAATAAGATGATATTTGCATGACACAATTGGGATATTGTCTATGTCATGAGCATATTGCTTATTTTCATGTGCTTATTTTCATAACGGAGCCTATTTACCCAGGATGAAAAAATCGACTGCGCCTCTGATGACTGCAAGAATTGGTGAGAAAGAAAGAAAACGACTCAGACAGACCGTGGTGGCTCCCATCATGAAGGCAAAAATGTCCGTGATGGAGGTGACGGTGATGGAGACTCCAGCCAACTTCAGCGCTTCTCCCACGCGTTCCTCTGCGTTCAACAGCCTTCCTTTTGACGCCACATTCTCCAGGCTCTGCATTAACATTGCTTTATGATCATTTACATTGTGGATATCCACCATAACCGTGATCGAGGTCCAAATGATGTGTAAAAATTACAACCTTGTATCATTCGTGGCTTGATCTTAACATCACTTTGAACACATGCGGGGTGACAAACTTCGTTCCACCACGCATGGTCAAGGATGGAGAACGTGTTATATAACTTTGTTCTACATTGAAGAAAAGAAAACGAGGCACCTGGATGATGACAAGCGTATCATCGATGCCGATCCCGAGGACGAGGAAAGGCATCAAATTGTGGATCTTCGTCGGAATAAGCGCAAAGTACAGGCACACCCCAACCGCACTCAGGATCGTCAGCCCGATCGTCAACATCGCAGCCAGGCCCAGATAAAACTAAGCAAGGAGTTTTCTGTGATTTATCCAATATCATTTCATAGGGCATCCCGTGTCATGAAACATTTAAGCTAATACATGCTCAGGCAGACGCTTAAGCAAGCATTGAAGAGCAGCATATAGCACTTGAAATTGATCTGTCACTAAGGTGTCGTTGATGAACCGCATTTGAATGATAGCTAATTTGAATTCAGAGAGTTAACGATGGCATATGAGACACAAGCAGGGGAATGAAGAAATCGATTCGATAATATTAACAATAGCAACCTAAAAGAACGTAAATTGCCATTGTGCCCCTAAACGTTCATCTTGCACATGGGCACAAGAGGAATCAGAGATCGCAAAAAAAATCAAAGACATAAAAGTATAATTTATGAAATGTAAAAGCATAAGTTCAAATAAAACACCAAAAATCCAACATTTTATCTGGAACACTCCAAAGGGTTCACTACTCCCTCATAGCCACAATTCTAGGGGTTTCTCTGCTCAGGCGCAAGTCTTGCTTCGTCATTGTTTATGGATGTAGGGCTTGGCTAATCACTAGTTGTAAGTTACTTAGGTTATTTATTATTATTGAGATGTAATATGGTCTAGATGCTCTTCGAGGCCAACACGAGAATCGACAAAGAAAAGTCAACGAGTACAATTGAGGAAAATGCGAAGAAAGTATCAATTTTCTACAGAAAATTTTTGGAAAGTCATTGGATGTAAAGATATCACGGTATCTCAAGAACGGCCTTGAGCTCCAATCCCGCAAGAGGTTCCCCGGGCCAAAACTGAAACTTTGATCATGCGGACAAAACTCATGACATTGAATGGTATTACCCGCATAATGGCCTGTAATACATCATCATTTCGGCCGTTGCAAGTCATGAAGTTGGCAATCGTGAGGAGAAGGTGCTAAAATTACACAGCTCTTGGCCGTTGAAGGAAGCCACTTGAGGAAAGACGACCTGATCAGCAACGATAAACCTCAGGAGTAATCTCCTCGTGATTCATTCTCCTCGCTAAGGGAAATAGCGTGATAATTAGATCAAATAAGAAGTACTCAATGCACCCGTTACATACATATTTTTAGACGGTACAGCCATCCCCTGTAAAAATTTCCAGCATGTATTCGGTATTTACTTGGAATGGAAACAGAAATCGTCGTTACCCGGCATTACCGCCCCCTTTTTCTCTCATTCCAGACCGTTGACACGTGTTTTACGAGATGGTGACATCGATGGAAAATGTTGGCCAATTCATCTGCCGATTGGCACTTACCCGTTGTTCAAGGAGATTGAATCTCCCCACGTTGATGGCCACGTAGAAGGTGATGAGAATGAAACCATAGATAAAAAATTTCACATTCTTCTCCGCGACGCCATTGACCCCATCTCGAAAGCTATTCGAAACAGCTCGAGGTTGACATTCGAGACGCTAGTCATATCTTGCCCGAGAAGAACCGAGAAGCGCATCCTACCTGCGTTCTGCATAGGCATAAGTCTTCAAGCCTGGAGGTTTGGGGAGGTCGTTGTGAAGCACCAATTCGAGGAATTTCTCCTCCCACGGCTCTGCGATCAGATCAACCTAAAGGGAACCAGACGCATTGGTGCATTATCTATTGGGGTTCGGTTGGATGCAAATCGCTTCCCATGCATCAAATGTTCTAAACCTAAAGACATCTGAATATTAACAAATAATCAGGTGAAACAATAATTACATTTTCATTTCTGCATCTGTTGATTTAATGATCCTACTCATTATTGGACGTGAATATTTCAACAACAGCTTCGATTTGAACCCATGTTTTAATGGCCTTTATGACCATGTCAGGGCCTATTTGGAATGATCAGATCACATCCTTGTCTAAGACACTGAAAAGTAAGACATTTACGAGGTGTATCAATTGATCTTACCGTGGTCATATTGTCAATAATAGTTTTATTATAAATTTAAAGTGACCTTTTCAGTACCTAATAATTTCCTGTCAGCTTTTCTAGTTTCTTCTTTGTTGAAAACATTGATAATGCAACACAGGATGCAAATAAACTTCTAATTCTAGTGCTCCTTTACATTAACCATAATTAGAAAAATAATTAGTTTTCATCCTAATTGGATTGACAGTGTGTCGTGAATAAATCAGTGCGATATATGCGTAAAATAATCAAATACTGTTTTAGTCCTCCCCCTGCCCGATTGGCCACCAAATGAGCATCATCCATTTTGCATCTCAATATCGGTCTTCGACGGTCCCTCGAACCACCTTTCAGTTTTCAGGACCCTTTTTTGTCCTGAAATCTCTCGGTGAAATCTCAACTTCGGTGTTCTTTCAGACGGGGACGCACTGGGCACCAGGCCGAGTGAACGAGTCGGTTGTAGCATCGCTCGAATCCGGGATCGTGGAGGCGACCCGTGGCGCATCGACTTTGGGAGCTGCTGCAGTGTCGTGCAAAATGGGAGATCCCTTTCTTCCACGTTTCTCTTCATGGATACGTGCTATCGGTAATGTACTGCAATGCTAATCGATGATCGCGATGTTAGGGGGCGTGTAGTCGATGCGAACGAGTTCCGCATGTCCCAGAAATGCTTTCATATAAGCTGGGGGGGGGGGGGGTAGCCACCTAGTCGGGTTTCAATCCGGGGAACCCGCTAAAAAAAAAAGGTCCTCCGAATATTCATTGAACTAGTCTTGATTTTCTTGAGTCATAATCATAATAATGTTGAATGACGACTGACAATTGTGAAACCTGGCAATGACAGACATTTCACAATTTCAAAATTCATTATTCTTTTCGTGCTAAGTGCACTGAAAATAATAGAGGTTAGATCCTACATCCTTAAGGGTGTGCATGCTTTGTCACTGGACGGCCACCCTATGGATGAGCATGCTCACCGTAATGTCGAGAACCCTTGGCGCACGTCAACAACTCTTCCATGGCCGATCTCAACGAGACACGCGTGTTACGTTGAGGGGATTCCTGATTCCGTCGCCACGAAGCACGCCTCATGGAAATATTGTTGATAACAAGGCACCAGATGTCTCTGTAATATTTCGACCCCCATCCCCCCTACCCC